CAGCTATAATGCAGGTTATTCTGATTTTAAGGTAGCATCACATGGCATACTTCTGAGTCCATTCTCGAGATATTCTGTTGTACCTGTAAATGAAAAAATATATTAAAAAAATACAGAATTTACCAACATCTTCCAGAGCAGAAATTGATCTGTATTTTACCTACAGAATCATCAAGTCATCTATAGTGGCTGGTACTAGAGAACAGTCAGCAAGAGGAAAGCCAGCTCTGGTGCTCAAAGTAGGTGGGAAATGAGACTAACTGCTCCAAAAACAGTGCTTTTTAAAAGAGTTCATCATAGATGTCTGATACAATAGTATCCCAATTCTGTACACCAACATAAATTGCACTGAAGACATAAGCAAACTATTACTTTAAAACGGGGTCGGGGAGCTGGGGAGATAGCTCAGTAGAATAAGTGCTTGTCTGGCAAGCGCAAGGGCCTGAGTTCAATCTCTGGTAAACAAAAACAAGAAACAAAACAAACTGGGTTGGAATCCTAGACTGAAGAACTTACTTAGCTCTAAGTACAATAAGAACAGAAAATGCCTACAGAAAAAAAATGTCTATAAAACTTTAAAAGGAGTAAACAAGACAGGAAACGGTTAACAAAGCTCAGTGATTTTTGAGAAGGGTAAGAGTCCTAGTGCTGATGAGAGAACCAGAATTGGTGGTATATGCCTGTAATCAGAGCACTGAGAGGATCCCCACAAGCTCAAAGAAACAAAAACTGAAGAGACACCCCTGCATTATTACTTTTACAAACTGTGGTATCTTGAATGCTAAGGTCCATGCCAACCTGATGGACAGGAATTGCTGGCAGTGTAACCAAGACATCTCTGCTTAGAAAGATATATAGGTGGCTGACTCATAAGCCAGGATATCACTGAACAAGACAACTAATGCAAGTCAGTATCACCCATTTCTCTCAGAATTACTTTCATGTCATTACCCCAAGAAAAAGTGATAACCTTAAGAAATGAATATATAGCAAAAGGACACAGAACTTTTAGATTTCCATTTAAATTTTCAGAAATTTTACTAGCTTTATTTCAAACCAAAAACCAACTATGACTCAACTATTTTCTCTCCCTCTTATGCTACAATATACCGCATCTGTCTGTCCACTCTCTTGCTAATCTATTGTACCTGACTAGATAACACATATTATACAACATATGGTAGTTAAAACACAAGTTGAATGTAAAAGTAATTCAGGTATTTGAGAAATTTAGAGCCAAGCTCATCTATTCAATTTATAGTTAATCATGTAAAAATGTCCTCTTCAGGGGCTGCAGAAATAGCTCGGTGGTCTAATAGCATGCCTGGTAGGCACAAGGACCCAGGTTTAATCCCTGGTACCACAAGTTGTGCCAGGCCCTGACCCATGGGCGTGATGGTGTACACCTGTAATCCCAGCGTTAGAGGATCACTACAAGTCTAAATTGTATAGCAAGACCCTTTATCAAATACAAAAAAAAAAAAAAAAGTCCTATTCAAAAAGCCAGCACTTTAAAAACAAAGGCTTTACATAGCATACAGGGAGCCACAAAATAATAGCTTACACTAATGCATGCTTGTGAGTAATGAATACTTGAGTTTAGATCCTTAGGCTAAAGTGTTTTTCCCCCTTATAATACTGCTGCCTGTTGGCAAAACTTGAAAAACAAATAAAAACAAAAACCATCACATTCCATTATAGTAGTAGAACAAAGTTTCAAGTTAAAATGTGAACAGCAAGGTAGTCTGTCAAAGATGCTCTTGAATTTTTCACTTTTTACTAGTGCTATGTAACTAATTTACCATGCAGGAATACTTTCAAGCAGTAGTGACTACCGGGCATACTTTCACGCTCAGATCAAGCAATTACAAGTAGAGTTTTTAGAAACTGCCCAGTCTGTTACCCGTGTTAGTTAATGCAATGCTTGAAAGCATGCGGCACCCAGTGCTGGCAGCACCATGAGCGAACGGCACCACGGTCCTCTTACCCTACAACATAGCGTATTTGTCTGTCCACTCTCTTGCTAACCTATTGTACCTGATTGGATAACACACATTAATCACAACGTATGGTAGTTAAAACTTAAGCTGAATGTAAAGGTAATTCAGGTATTTGAGAAATTCAGAGCCAAGTTTTTATAATAGTCATTAGTAATATTTTTTAGAAAAACTTATTTGATGTAGAGAACAAGGTGCAGAATCTTCTCTTCCCAAATTTTATGAACATAAAGTGACAAAGTTTTCATTACATTAGAAGAAAACCATTCTGGAAGGCTATTCACATGTCACTTTAAAGAGTACTCGGCAAAATTTCAGTATTTTACCAGACACAAGAATACAGTCTTCCTGGCATTGCCATAACCTACAGCTCCAGTTAGGCCAAAAGTAGTATCGTATACCTACTTGTCTCTGTCTGTTTTATAGATCCGTGCAATCTCTGGCACTAGGGGGTCATCTGGGTTTGGATCACATAGCAGTGAACAAATGGATAAAAGAACTGCAAGAAAATGAATGTCTTGTTACCCAGGTTTGGACAAATAAGGGTCAAAAGAACTTAGTTCATATTATAAACGTCAATCCTCAAAAGGGTATTATTTATATCCTAAACTCAATGAAATATTTTAGAGGTTTTGGTCCACAAAAGACAATTCCCTGGTAAGCAAGGAGTACTAAAAATACTTTTGTTGACATCAAAGTCAATACAGATTACTGAACAGGTAGTCAAGGGTCACATTAGTTTTTTGGCAAGAATTAAGGCCTGTTTCATTTAACTCTCAGCTCTGAGGCAGGATGAAAAAAATCTGCTCCTTGCTCTTCCCTTGAACAAGCTCCAAAAAATGTTCTCTTTCAATCTGCAAGGTAGGACCATATTCACTGGAGTCCCAATGAACAAAACACACCTCTTGAGCACTAAAGAGTGTTCACAACGTGAGTGCTTACTCTGGCCTGTTCAACACACCAACTCAGAAGATGCAAAGCATCAAGGGACACAAGCTCATTTAACCTGAGTACCTGTTGTATGCCACTCACCATACAGGTCTTACAAAGACCTCAGGTATTAGCACAAAAGCAAAACATAAGTTTAAATCCAAATGCATGTGAGGGATGAAAATATAAAATTATAGAATAAAGCACTGGCTAAACAATAATTCAAAAAAAAAAAAGGCAAAAATGTCAGTTGAGCCTACCAATAGGTTTGTAAAATGCAAGTGCCAAAAAGATACTTGCTTAAAAACAGAACACCTTAATTCCATCTGCTTTACAGAAACTTTTCAGTAGTACAGCCCATCCAGGAATAGTAAAAACTTGCCATCTGGCACTTGGATATGGGAGCACCATTGGAAAAATTAGAATTCAAACAAAAAATTGAGTGGGTCTTCAAAGAATCATGGAAGAATTTATCCACTTTATTTTCTCTCTCAATAGTGGTACCAAAGCTTGAAAAATGTTATATAACGTCTTTGATGTTCTAGTCACAGCACAAGCATATATTTTACTCTGCATTTACCAAACTCATAAATTACAAACTTTTGGTAAAATTAATTATTCCAAGATAGTTTTGGAAATGCCATACATAAGCATTAAGTGTACAACCAAAATGCTTAGACACCTACAGTATTTGAATGACAACGGGAATGCCCTTCTGTGACAAAATTAACCAAAAAAGTGGGACAGAAATGACCATTTTCTATTTGTATACTCAAAATAGGATATATATACAGCTTCATTATCTTAATTCAATGAACAGAGATTTGTTCTAATAGTGTTTGAGACAGGATATCATGTCTGCATCTTGTACAATGAATAACCACTTAAACAATATGCAATGTATTAATTATTGAAAATGTGCTAGTAATTGGCTGTGAAACTGTCTCATTGCTATGTTTCTCAATAAAATTATTCTAAAAAAATGCTTAAGAGAGGCACTATCCTCAAATATCTTCAAGAGTCCTAATTATCAACATTAAAAACTTAAATGTGGGCTGACATGGTGACATATATTCCTGCAATGCCAGATTTTTAGAAGGCTGAAGTAGGAGGATTCAAAGTTCAAAGACAGTCTAAGCAATTTAGATTGACATTGTCTCAAAACAAAGCCGGGGGTGGGGGTGGTGTACATTTGTAATTCCAGCACTTGGGAAACTGAGGCAGGAGGATCACAATGAGTTCAAGATCAGGATGAATTATATAATATAACTCTGGATCAAATAGGCAGGGAAAAAAAGCAAAACTGGAATTCTCTTTGAATGGAAACCTCAAGATTTAAATGTTCTATTAAATTCAGATACACTGTAATTATACCATTCTTTAAAAAAAAGATGTATAAAGTGGTTCAGGACTAAAAAAATACAAGTCAATTAAAATATTTAGCTCTTATATAATGAAGGTGACCTGATTAGGCAAACAATGCTGTCTTCTCGGTCCTAATGTGAATTTTAACTTCAAGTTTCAACCAATACCACTAATAAAATAAGAAGTAATTTACCATTTCTTTCCCCACTTTGTATCAAAATATCAACACGTTAAAAAGGCTCAAGGATTAAAACCCCTTACTGGGGTTAAAAAAATAAAGCATCAATACTATTCCATTGAAGGTACTTTACCTTTAGAAATAGTTAAAGCAGGAGACCACTGTGATCTTAGAATATCGAGACAAATGCTGCCATTACTGTTAATATTTGGATGATAAATTCTTGTTGTAAATGCAACCTAAAACAAATTTTTAAAACACATTAAGTATTTTATCCAAATAAAACCAAGCATCTTACATTTGATCAGAAGACTTTAAACCTTAAAGTGTAAGTCATCATTAGCCAGGTGTGGTGGCACACACCTGTTAACCCTAGCACTCACTGGGTTCAAGACTAACCTAAACTATGCAACATCACACAGCAAGAACCTGTCTCGAGGGAAAAAGTAGTCCTGGGTAGAATCAAAATTTATACACCATTAACTTATTTAAATGTGCCACGTTACATGTTACATTCAGGTCTGTATGTCCACTGTGCACAAAATCAAAATTTAAAGTACGTTATTCAGTAGAAAGCACAGCTAGAGCAGGGAACAAGGTCTGGAGCCCAGCAACTTCAGAGATGACTTTTGAAATCTGCACAGTCCTATGGATAACCCACTACGACTACTGAACTGTATTGGATTATTTTGCTGAATTCTTGCACCTGACATATTTAAATGGCAATGGAATATCCATCTCTGACAAAACTAAATGAAAAAGGGGGATATAAATGAAGGACCATTTTGTATCTGTATATACAAAATAGGATAGATAGCTCTTTCTCTTAATTCAAGATTTGTACTAGTGTTTGGACAAGCTATCATGTCTGCATCTTGTACTATAAATAACTACTACGAAGACAACAATATGCAATGTATTAATTATTGTAACTGTCCCACTATCCTGTTTTGAAACTGTCTCAGTTTCTCAATAACATTAATAAAAAATAAAGTACATTATTCAATGGCACTGTCACACAGCACCTTCAAACATAACTGTTACTATATATGACATTGTAACACTTGCTGTATCTGTATGGTTATTCACAGGCTGAATTTATTTTAGTGGTTATAGAACCATATGTTTTCAATTCCTGTAAGCTAGCCACCTTAGAATATGAGGCAACTCCTGAAGCTCAGTATCTGATGGCTATTACAATAATCCCAATCTGTGTGTGACTAACAAATGGAACAAGATGTTTATTTCCACAGGGCACAATGAAGCCTTACAACATTAAAGACAAGGAAATCTTCCTCATTTATAAACTTCAAGTCCCTGTTTAGCTCTTTAAAGACAAGATGTGTAAATATCCTCATATACTTATCTTCAGCTCTATTATTGCTATTAATACATATGAACAAACAGCTTCACAGAACGCTAGTGCTGCAGAATGCTATATTCCTCTGAAACATTGCAAATCTGTACTAACAGACTGTGAAGGAAAATACTTGCCTTAGGTGGTTTGAAGGGGTAGTCTGTAGGAAAATGAATTGTCAAAAAGAATACACCGCCTTGGTATGGGCTGTCATTCTGTGAAGAGAAAAATGTACTTAACTTTAAAGAAAATTCACTGGTAAGTAATAAACATTTTCTGAACATTTCACTAATGGGCCAAAAATTATATCTTTGCACTGCAATGAAATTCTTGTCAAAGAAAATTCATCTTAGTGGGGGGAGGCACCATCAAAGCTTACTATCATAAATTCTAACTAGATCCTATTTTACAGTTTACCAAAGGTTTGAAAACAAGTCCAGAAATCAAAAGTACACTTAGCAATAAAGTTTACCAAGTATTATTTCTCAATTGCTTATTCAATTAGCTCTTCAAAACTTCCATTTAAAAAACCATGAATTTATTTTCTACAAAAGCCTAACTGAACTCCTCACAGTAAACCAAGAGATTTGGAACAGAAAATGTAGGATTTCATGCCAGGCACAGTGGGGGGGGGCCTTCCCTTAACCCCAATACCCTGGGAGGTTGAGGCAGAAAGATTCCTACTATAAGCCTAGCCTGGGGAACTTAGCAAGACATTATCACAAGATTGGGGGAGGGGGGGAAGGGAGGACAACGTATAGCTTGTAGACTTAGCTCAGCGCTAAGGTCGCAAGTTAAATTCCCAGTACTGTAAAATAAAAAGAAATGGTGGACGGCCAGCTGTATATAGCTTAGAGGCATGGTGCCTGCCTTACAAGTGCGAAGTCCTGAGTTCAATTCCCAGTTCTACAAAAAAAAAAAAGAGGAAAGAAAATTCTCATGCTACACAGTACTTTCTCTCCTTTGCTGGTCTGCTCATTACAATCTGAAAGGGGAACAACCTCAATAAATACTTTACAAACATTAGTACCAAGTTAATACTTGGGAGTACCTGCTGAGCTTTTCATTTTTAACTTAACAAACGCATGACATACATGTTATTCTATTTTATGGATGACTTAAAGGTTACAGTAGGGTATAAATAATAAAGTGATAGAACTGACATCCGAATGTAAGTGTTCTGAAGGCCACTTAAGACAATACAACAATAAACTGCTAAGATTGTGACCTAATTCAGGATTTAAAGTTAAAAATACAAAAACTGTCTCAAACTGCCTCTTAATTTCCAAAAGCCAACTCTAAGATGTTTAACGGAGCTCATGAATTTTCACATTTAGCAATCTTTTAACATGTTAAGGGGGCCGAGGAGATGACTCAGTAGAATAAGCACTTCCCTGGCAAGCGCAAGGGTCTGAGTTCAATCCCTGGTTCTGAAAAAAAAAAAAAAAAAAAAAACCACCAAAACAAAACAACCCTTAAAATTAGCTTTTGAAATTTTACCCCTTTGTAAAATAAGGCCAGATAATAGTTTTTATCTTGATGGCCTTATATTCTAGAACAAGGACCTAAAAAATGGAATGCAAGGGCTGTCCAGATAATAGCTCAGCAGACTAAAGCACCTGCTTAGGCAGAGAGCAGTGGCCGGGGTTCGATTCCCAGCGTGCCATGCCAGCCTGGCCCTCTGGGGCACGCTGAGCCAGCGATTTTGAGACTGGGCATGGTGGTGCACGTGTGTAGTCTCAGCACTTGGGAGGCTGAAAACAGGAGGATCACTACAAATCCGACCTAGGTAGTGAGAGAAACCCTGTACTAAATACATAAAATTTAAAAATAAAAATAAAGAAACGTGAATGCAATTAAGTGTCACAGACGTTAGAAAAGTGGAGAAGAAATACATGGGATTGAAGGAGCATCTATTTATTGAAGAGCCAGGCTCAAAGAAACAAAAGGAAGAGCAACTACTTAAATTGAGCCCTGTGAAGTTTACATTAAAAAAAACCCTAACACTGCAAAGCAGCATATAAAAATTGTAGAGGGGAGAAAACCAACCAAGGCACCCAGACTGATCTGCTTTTATTAGATGAGCACATACTTAAAACATTACAGCTACACATTGAGATACACTGGGCATAGATGTTTTATATAGCATGTATTTTAATACAAATGAATATAGAATTAATTACATAGATTAAAAACAAAATACTTAGAAACATTTTCATTTAAAAAAATCTAATTCCAGAAGTTCTGTGGATTCATTCCAGTTTTATATAATTAAGGGCCACATTTGACTGCTGAATAAAGACAATCCATTAGCCCATCAATAAAATGTAGGCAAAGCTAATCTCAAGCTGCTTTAATAACAAAACAAAAACACCTTCCTTATGAGCTGTTACACGATTAATACTGTAGCAAAAAGGAAAAACTAGTAAACCTGCATCATTTAAACAAGTGGAACTCTTGACTACCAACCCTTGAATGCTTTAAGCTGCTAAGTAACTTTTATTACTTATTCTGAATCTAAATTGTATCTGAGATAAACATGGTAAAGTACTTTACTGAATTCTTTACTCAGAAAATTGGCAATGCATAATGGAAACCTCTAGGTCACAAAAGAAACTGCTTACAAAACTTAGGTACAAAAATAAAGTGAATCAGGTAAAGACCAAGCCAAGATGTAGATCCCACCTCAAAAGAGAAGGAAGCTATTAATCTATACTAAGTCATAACTGCTTATGGAATGAGAGTCTAATCAAGGAGTTTTTATTCAAAGATTGTAAAACTTTAAAACACCCTGTGGGTCAAGCTGGGCAAGTGAAGACTTGTGTATTAAAAATAAACACCAATTTAGATACAGATGTTTGAAACAAAATCTAAAACAGCAAATGTCCTTGAAATAAAATATATAGGCACTGTAGTTTCTTAAAAGTTACCTGCCATAATGCCTTAATTGAGAATTTTTCTGCTCACCTTGTTAACATTACTATATGTCATCTTATACTTTAACACTTATTTTAGTAAGTGTTTTGCTTTTATTTCCCATTTTAATTTCCTGAAGGACTGGCAGGGATCTTCTCTACTATGTTCATTTGTATCTTTACTGCTGCACATATAGCAGCATTGAAACGGAAATAAGACCAGGTATAGTGGCACCAAAAAAAAAAGAAAGAGAAATGATTAAGGTATTAAGTTAGAGCTGCTCAATAGGTACTTATAGATCCAATGCATCCACTAAGGCCAACTCTTCCAAAATGGCACTGACCATTTCTCCACCTAGTACACACTGCTGCTGTAAAGTAAAAAGGCAGAAACCCAGTTTTTGGTAAAATACACATGTACTAATTAGAAGCCCTAAATTAAATTTTAAAATGTTCTATGTTCGGGGCCAGGGAGATAGCTCAGTAGAATAAGCGCTTGCCTGGCAAATGAAAGGGCCTGAGTTCAATCCCCAGTTCCACAAAAAAAAGTTCTACGTTCAAGACAGTCTTACCCCATTATGTTTTTAGTGTACTCTAATTCACTGAAATTCTTAAATGGTATCCATAATTACAAGTATCCAATTATTCAGCTCATAGTTCACCCACAACTGAAAGGAATTTTGCTACATTAAATACAGCATTTTGAAGGGGTTGCGGAGATAGCTCAGTAGAATAAGCACTTGCTGAGTTCAATCCCTGGTACCGCAAAAAAAAAAAAAAAAAAAAAAGACAAAAACAAAAATATCATTTGAGGGAGGCCAGGCAAGGTGGTACATGTCTGTATTCCCAGCACTACAGAGGATGAGCTAGGAGAACTGCTGCAAATTTAAGACCAGCCTGGGCTAGAAAGTGAGCTCAGGGACAGCCTAAACTACATAGTGAGACCTTGTTATCAAAAAGATTCCGCCCACCAAAAAAAAAAACACTTTATGTTGACATTTACATTTGTATTAAATGTAACTTATATACAAAATGGAATATCAAATTAACAAGAATAGAGTATTACTACCTTTACAACTTACAGAATTAAATTCAATAGATTATAAGAAGCAGCTCAATGACAGAGGTTTCCACTGCTACAAAGGAAAATTGGACTGAGGCAAATAGGAACTTGGCTCTGGCACTGTGCTACACACCCACACAAGGGGGAACAATTCAGTTTTTTCTAATGCAGTACAACTATATGGCACATCCAAAACAAGGTAACTACATAATAAAACAAACCACCAGACTGAGTTAATAAAATTAAAATCCAATCAATACTCATTTTCCAATTACAAGCAAAAATTTAAAATTCTTAATACTTACAGGTCCCATAATTGTGGCTTGCCAATGGAACACTGTTAAAAGAAAAATAAAACATAACTTTCTTTGTTATTTCAAAACACACAGAGCTTCTTTCAAGTTAACTATAAAAATCAATTCAGGTTACTTACTATCATCCCCAACTGGGCCTGCAGAACATTGTGCTGGAGGGTCCCGGGCCAAATCACTAAGTTCCTACACCAAAAGAGAAAACAATGGGTCATGCAATGTAATTCAACACAAGCAAATAAATATAGTCAAGGAAGGCAACGTGGTGCACGACTAATAATCCCAACACTCAAGACACAGAAGTGAGATAACCTCAAGTTCAAGCAAGGCTGGGTGAAATATATAAAACCATGTTTCAAAGTCAAAACAAAACCAGCAGTAAATTACCTGAGTAGAGGGCAAGAGGTAGAAGAGGTGAAAACGACTTAAAGCATGTTAAGTCTATGGATACTTCTGCCAAAATGAAACTTGTTCATTTGTATAACCAATATGCTCAGGTGTGTGCATACATATACAGACGTGAAGGAAAGAAATCTTGAGAAGGTGCCAGTCCCCTAGAAGGTCTTGCTGACAAGTATACATTGACATACAATTCTTCACTTTTGGAGGCAATCTGGACTGGGCATATACCAACTGAAGTCAGCTGAGGTAATCCCTAAATATGAACCAGCAAGCAGTCATTACTCCGCAATGAGAAATAGCCAGCATACTCTTTCTTGGGGAAAGCAAATAAATTAGTGAGCAAAAAAGTCTTACACAAGCAGAGACCATAGGATGTAGAAGTCCGTCTGAGTCCTGTCTGGCACATTTCATATAATACTTCACTTACCCCTTGTTCTTTCAGTAATACTGACTAAATGCTGGCCACGTACATGCCAGGCATTGTCCTCAGTGGATGGAGCATCAGGACAAAACAAAGCCTAAGCTATCAAAATGGGACCAAACATACACACATATCTGTAATTGCATCTTAAAAAAAAAAAAAAAAAAAAAAAAATTCAACTAGTTTCATTTACTTTTATCTCGTCCTTTAAATGGACATACAATCCTGACTCTCAACAATACATTCCACTGGGAAAGACAAAACCAAAGCAATCCTACAATCCAGTCACTGGAACAAAGTAAACAGCATTGCCTCACAGACACACAATGAACAATCCTCAATGACAGGAACAGGCAAGTCTCTTGATGGACAGAACTAGAACTGATGCTTTCAACCTGAGAGCTTCAAAAAAGCAAGAGTGTACCAAATCATTGTTGACCTTCCAGACCACATGCCCTCGTCTTTAACTTTTTGTTCTTCCTACGCCACACTTCTATCTAACCACTGACTGATCCCATTTTCCACAATAAAAACCTCTCACAGACCTAAGTATCCTTTTTTATATTCAATCTCACTATTTAAATTGTCTTTAACTCTATACCTATCTTTAACTGATGTGAAAAATCCTAACTTTGGGGCCAGTGAGACAGCTCAGAGGACTAAGCACCTGCTTAGCAAAGTGCAAGGACCAGTGTGATACCTACCAGCCACTGAGTCTGGGCATGGTGGTACATGCCTATAATTCCAGCACTGAGCAGACTGAAAACAGAAGGATTGATTAGGAGTCTGAGCTGTGTAGTGAGCCCTTGTACCAAATACATTTTTTAAAAATCCTAACTTTTATAAGAACTTTCTTTTTCCAAGGCAGAAAAAAATTTGCTCCTAGCAAAATGAATTTCTGCAAGTCCATATGAACTAATTATCCTCAAATACCTGTATATTCAAAAAAAATTGGCACTCTAGTATAAAGTCTTCTAAGATTCCTTTTCATTTTAAAATGGCACAGCTCTTATCTTACAAAGGTTATAACCTATATCTTTGTTACACACAAAACACAGTCTGTAACCCTGACTACTCTGGACCTGACATAGGAGAATCACCAATACTAGACCACGCTAGGCAAATCAGTGAGATTCTGTCTCAAAATAAAATTTAAAACTGCCCCCCCCCCCCCGGGGGGGTAGTCTGGCAGTCTAAGTGCCTGTCTGGCAAGCACAAGGATTGGGCCAGGTTCAATCCCCAGTAGCACATGCTGTGCTATCCACAATTATAACCCTGAAACATTTACCTTTTTCCTTTACTCTCCAATAATTATTAAAGACAGCGATACAACTGTATGGAAATACTTTGTTTTCTTCCTATGCAGTTCAGGCTGGCCTCAAATTCATGGCAATCTTCCTACCTGAGCCTCCCATGTGCTAGGATTACAGGCACTGCCACTACGTCCAGCTATATTTTTCTTTCATTACTGGTATGATCTTTGCTTCTCATTGCAAAGTTAAAAAATATGAAATGCAGAATGTTCAGTATAAACTTCTCTCCCCTGGGGGACACAGGGAATAGAAGAGCTCAATTTAAATTCTAGAATAACTACCCTGTTACATATGTATGATCTTGTATCTCTTAATAGGCGAAATAAGCTTGTATGTACCTACTATGGAAGAGTAACAAACTATCAAGAATACCTACACATACCCTTTTACTAACTCTAGGAACTCAGACATCTTTCAGTTCTATACCACTACATAATTAGTTCTATCTGCAGAAAACATATGCATCCTGTCATTTGCTTTTCCACATCTCACATATTTTCTATAAGAAAATCTTAGTTCTCACTGTAGAGCTTAGTGATAAGTTAAATGCTTTATTTCAAAATCAGTTTTTATTAAAAATTAAAAGCATAGTTTTAAATTTTATAGCTGTTCATAACAGGGCCATAATTCATGTCTCAATGCCAGGTGGCTCCAATTTGAATCCAACAATCTTTCTCACCAGTTTGAAGAACTGGTAGTACATTCATGACTGCTGGTCCCATGAGGCAGAGTGTACTGCTCCTCAGGATCTTGGATTACAATAGTGCAAACAAAGGCACTGATTTAGTAGATGAGACGTCGTCATAGTATAGTTTCCTTAAGAAAAACATAAAAAGAGCCAGCCAGATAGTTCAGCGGATTAAGCACCTGTTTAGGCAGACACAGGGGTCGGGGTTCGATCCCTGGGGTGCACTGAGAGGGTGACTGAGACTCAGCAGACTGGGCATGGTGGTGCATGCCTATAATCTCAGCACTTGGGAGACTGAAAACAGGCAGGATCATTATGAGTCTGATCAGTGTAGTGAGACCCTGTACTAAATACAAAAAAATTAAAATGGTATAAAAATCAGCTAATTTGTGGTGTAGCATTTACATATACTATTGTACTGTACATATCAGCAATGAGGCATATGTAAGATTTCCGCATTAAAACTTAGGAAATCACAGATAAACTCTTCATGAATGCAAATTTCTTTTAATGAAATTTGATTATTGTACTATTTTAAATTGTGATGAATAGCATTAATACTTAGATTGGGGCAGTATTCAAATTCAAACAAATGGATTTGACCCCTTTATAGACTTTATTAAGTTTACTAGTGAAAAGACCAATAAAACTGATTAGAGCTGTTTGTACCACCAGTGGGTACAAGCCGAAAGAGGGACAGTTACATATGTAGTACTACAGCAGTGGTACTATAAGCCACTGGGAAGGTGCTTAGTGACTATGAAAAAAATCTAAACTGAGATTTTAGAGAACTTAAGATTTTCCTAAGTGACCACCAGAGTGCCGTCTTCCAGTATGGTGGCATGCCTTCTGGCTTTGTTCCGGGTTTTTCCAGCAAGGTAGGATTAGCCAGCATGTACTTAGCAGACTTAGACTTTCTATAGGTTTACAGGCTCTGCCTTGGTCTTCTCCAAAACATACACATAAATGAATTGAGTCCCAATATGATCAGAAAGGAAAGATGATCACAAGATTGACAGTGTAGACCCAATCTTGGGTGAACCAAAGCATGACACTGTGGTTTTTGGTCACTTGACGTGTTACTATCAGGTGCGCTGTGGTAGTGACCTCTGAACAGTGAGTGTCAGCTGGGTTACAGGTAAAAGGGAAGAAAGAAAGATAAGCAGACTGCCTCAGGACTGAACCAACAAGCTCTTTCATGATATAACTATTTTCATTACTCAGTAACACTACAGTTCCTTGCAGGGATTACATGAATGTGTGGCTCAACATTGCAGTTCTCTAGATCCTCTTCCTTTCCTTAGTACTGCAGAATGCATGGCAGGGTGTTTACATGGAGCTACAGTCCCACCTTATTTTACTTCTGAGACAGAATTTCCCTAATTTGTAAAACTGCCCAATTTCCAATCTTCCTCCCTCAACCTCCCAAGATGTAGGGATTATAGGCACAGGTGAACCATGCCTAGCTTCTATATTCCTTTTTAATCCTGAGTTTTTAAGTCATTGTTTAAGAGAAGTAACCTGATACATCAAATACATCAGAACAAGAACTCTACAAACTTTAACGTCAACTTACACAATTCAGATGCTTCAAGATCTGATTTTTTTTTTTTTTTTTCTTTTGGTGGAACTAGGAATTAACTCAAGACCCTTGTGCTTGCCAGGGAAGCACTTATTCTACTGAGCCATCTCCTCAGCCCGAGATCTGATTTTTTTCTTTCACAACACAGAAGTTTTTTTCCAAGTTCATTCAAAGAACATCTCACTGTGAATCTATTACAGAGTAAGTTGAACGATGAAGATAAACAGGATGCAATGTTAACAGTTACAAAACAATACTCTTTGAAATAAATTTTAAGCCATGCATGCTGGCGCACATCTGCAATCCCAGCTACTAAAGACAGACTTAAACCAGGCATGGCAATTTACAGGCAACCTGTTTCAAAATTGTAAAAAAGCAGTAGTTTGTGGTACTTGTTTTACTAGTAACTTCATCAAAAATCAGAAGGATTTTTGTTACTAAAATCAAGATTTTGTAAAATTGTGGTACTGATTTGGGAAGGAGATAAAATTTTTTTGGGGGGAAGGAGATAGTTTTTTTTTTGTTTTTTTTTTTGGTGGAACCAGGGATTGAACTCAGGCCCCTTTAGGCAAGTGCTTATTCTACTGAGCTATCTCCCTGGCCCTAAGGAGATAAATTCTTTACTATATATCTATATCTATATTTTGTTTGAATCTTTAAAGTAGGCACTCAGTAGCGGCACAGGAAAATTCTGCATTTACCAAACTGGAGTAATTTACATAGCCTCAAAATTGGAATATCTTGGATGAATCTAACACTAAAAATCAAAAGAACTGATTA